GTGCTACCATATCAAATCAATTACTATGTCTACTGCAAGGAAATTTGGTTCACTGTGTCGTACTATAAATTTTTTTCTCGTCTGACTCCATCTTGCACTTTTATAAATCTACCATTCGTCTGTGCTCCTTCTGTTCATCTCGAGATTCTTGACAAATTCCAAAGAAGGGTCTGTAATGTTATCGGTCTTGACCAGGCAACTCGGATTCGGTCACTTTCCCACCGACGTGACGTGGTTTTCCTCTGTCTTTTCTTCAAATATTTTCACAGCAAGTGTTCTGATGAGCTTTTTTTCCTCTGGTGCCCCGACTTCATGAATTTAAGTATGCTACTAGATTGGCAACAAGATCGCAACGTTTTAATTTTGAACTAGCTAAATGCAAACGCCACTTCTACTCTAGCAGTTTCTTTTCTCGCTCTTCCCACCTGTCGAACTCCCTTCCGGATTTCTTGCTTAACGATTAACTTACTGTTATGGTCCAGTTCCTTGTACCACGGTGATAGTCCAAGGTAGAACCAATAAAGAAGAACTCGAACACGGATATGGAATAACACAGATATATTACAAACAGGAATATATACAGAAAAGTAGAAAGTGTTAGTACGAACAATCAGGTTTAGTAGTAATTGTTTGAACGCGTAATTGTCGGACTGCCTCTGACTCGACTGACTGACTCGCTCGCTCTGATTGACTGACAGACTCCTGACGGACTTCACTTCAGACTTCAGACTGAACGGTATTTAGTCACCCCACCACGAGGGTATTATGTGGCACAAGGCCGGTTTAACGTGGGATCTCCGAGCCCGCGGGCTCGGCCAAAAATATGCCCTTTGAACCCGTATAAACGGGTTCAGGGTCGGTTTACCTCCCCGAAAAAGACTCCGCCCTTCGGCGTAGCCTCGTTCGGATTCCTCCCCGCCCGAAGGCAGAGAGTTCAACCGATCAGCCTGTCAGCCGGTCGCCCGGCTTCAGACTGAACTCTCGAAGCGCAGTATTTATTACGTATAGAATAGTCCATTATGTTATTATGGGTAAGGTCCCATAACACTTACAAAATTTAAATGCAACGTCAATCGCTATCTTCTGTTGCCTTGATCCCTGTGTTCCTATTTTTTTTTTTTTTTTGTCCTTTTCTCAATTCTCTCCACTCCCAGTCTTCTTATTCTCTTTAACTTTAAAACATCAGAATACTTTTTCTTCGCTTAACAATATATAGAGCAAGTACAACATTTATTTTCGAATTTTTTTAAAATTAAGAATTACTAATTTTGATAGTGAATGCAGTTCTCATACCTTCCTGGAATTTTTTTATCCATCATTTTTTCTTACTGTAACGTTAAAAGGCAAGGTCTTCTCAACGTTCCAAGATAATGTTGTGTGCACGTTGTGGAGAGTCTAGCAAAAGAAGCCTTCCAAAAACAAAACAAAATATTACGAAATAGAAAAATGTCGTGAGAAACAAAGATAAGAGTGCTGAATTGTTATGTAATGTCAATCTTCCAAAATAATAGTGAATGCTGGTCAATTTTCACACAAATGAAAAACAGACTTGGTGGGGGGAAGGGATGTGGTTCTGTAAGAAACTGTGTCGTCCGGGATTTTTATATTAAATATCCGAATGTATTATTTCCAAACAATAATATAATAAAAATAAAGAAAATATGGGTCTCTTAAATAAATCATTTGTATTTATCAATATATGTATATGAATACCAAAGAGCCAAAAAAGAGTAAAAGTAGTTTTTAATTGAATTAAAATCTTTAGGTAGTGGATCCACGGAAAAGGACGTAGTTTTGAGAAGAATTTTGAGTAATTGGTCCACAGTCAAAGCTGAGGTTGAGTAAAGATTTTTAAGTAGTTTGTCCACAGTAAAAATCTTCAGTTGAAGAAAGACTTTGATCGTCAGCGAAGATTCACTGACCGTCCCTGCTGTTGTTGTTGGAGATGATTCTTTTGAAGTCGTCGACATATGTTTCTTTCACGTATTCTCTTGTGTATGAAGGGCTTGGTGACAGTTGCATCTCTGCACCTGGAAATTGAAATTAGTGTGTTTTTATAAGAATTTTTTTCCAGAAAGTAGGCTCGAGAAAAATAGGGTTTTAGTTTTCTCTGATTTGTATAATATTCCACGTGGTGATATTAATTTCTAAGTAATAGAGACTTCGATTTAAACGATGTGCGTTGTATTGTGGAATCTTTTTTTAGATGCTTGTAAATATTGTATGTTATTGGGCAGAATATCAATTCTAGGCGTGTTTTAATATGGTATGTATGTGGGTATGTAAATGTGCTAGAAATAGGGTTTATTTCCTGTAGTTATGCAGAAGAAGATGGAGAATGCCATAGACGGAACATGTAATCAATGAGGAAGTTTGAAGGGATATAGAAACAAAAGGACATTTAGAATCAGAAAGAGTTGAACATTCTGGGACACATAAAGAAAAAAGTGGGATTAGAAAATTTCATACTCTCGAGACAAATTAATGGTAAGGGGAACAAAAACACACACACACACATACATCGAGTAGCCTAGCTACCGAACTTGTGTAAATGAATGACAAACGAAATGGGGGATATTGTGATGTATGTGGGGGGGGGGCAAATATTGCTACAAATTATATGAAACTGTGAAGAGCCATGATCGCTCACGTGCTGAAGGGACATGACACGTAAAAAAAAAAGAAGAAAAATGATTTTAGAATACAGTTCGCCTCAGTAGCTTTGTCATAATCTTAGAGTAGTTTTCAGGTCATGTAAAAGACTGACGCGACCTCACCCTCGTCCTCCCTCTTGTCCTTGTGGATGACATATTTCAAACAATCTATAACTCGTATATTTTTATCTGTTGCCGTGACTAATTATTTGCTTGTTGCCATCAGTTTTCATTCTTTCCTATTCCACAAGCTGTCACTGCTGCTAAATGAAAGCGAAGGCTAAAGAAAGTACTTAATGTCACCGTATGCAAAACTGTACCTGATCGTGGACATTAAGGGATCACCGATCAAGTATAAGTTAAGTACAATAAAAAGTATGCTATATGCAAATAAGCATTTTATTACTTAAATATTATTTTAATGAATACTCATAGTAGAGGTTTCGTTTATTTAAACAGTATTCATTTTCTTCTACTTTCTGGAATATTCAAGAAATCTTATTAAAGAAAAATATTAGAAGCCTTTAGAAATTAAAATAGGTATACTTAGTATTTAGTATTTACTATTATTATATATTATAGTATACTATACTATAATATATAATAATAGTAAATAATGACAATATACAGTTATGGTGATCAAGAATTATTAATCGCCCACGTGTCTTTTTTCAGCATTATTCTTTGTAGAACTACCTCCGAGTCACCAGACAGGGTTTCTTCTACTTTTTTTCCCTAAAATTACACAATATTTTTATAAACAAAATTTTGGAGCTTCATGCGAAATAAAAAAAAAAAATAAAAGATCCTAGATAACTAAGATATTCACTAGAAAAAAAAAAGAAAAGATAGAAAGAAAGAAAGAAAGAAAGAAAGAAAGAAAGAAAGAAGCAGAAAAAGAAAGAAGTAGTGGAAAGTGAACTCGTGTCTGAGTACGACTACTTCAAACACGCTGTTGATTACCTTGCCGCTGATGTTATCACTGTTGATTCATAGTCCGACGAGGGACGTACATTTTAGGCCTAAATGTTTTCAAGCAGGCTCTTTTGAGCAGGAGTAGAAGTTTATGCTTTGTTTCTTGTTTCTTTTTTCATTCTCTTTCTCTCCTTGTAGCCCTAACCTTTGCGTCTTAGCGGCATTATCGCCTTGCTTGGGATGAACTGATTAAAACAAAAACAAAAACATTTTTTTCTTGTTCTGCTGTGTTGAAACAAAAAGGGAGATTGTGGAGAACCATGATCACACATCTCTTTAAAAGAGATGACATATAAAAGAAAAACAAAAAAAAAGGTGGGGGTTCCGCGTTTGGGTGTCAGGCTGAGTAATTATCTTCATGACATCTCTTCAAGATTTATTGCTGATTTTTTTTTTTTTTTTTTTTTTTTTTTTTACAGTAATCATTGTTTATGATAGCTCTAAGTAAGTGTAATGAGAATTTGTGTTTGTACTTCCGTCCGTGGGCGCTCAATCTTTGGACACCAAAACATGAGCCACAAGGAAGAAAGGGTTGAGAAACACTGATGTAAATTATAATTTTGTCAAGAAAACTAAAATGCTGTCAAAAAAAGAGTAATTTCTTTATTTCGTTATTTCGTTTTTTTTTGTTTTTTTTTTTCTTGTTTATTTATTGTTTTGTTATGACTTGTTTATTTTCGGGTTTGTTGTAAGGCGGGTCACTTGAATTGTAAGAGTCTTTTCCCTTTCACTGCCTTTTCCTTGTTTAACCTCAACATTCCCTTTTCAGCTTCGAAAAAACAAATCGTGAGAGAGAATGAATTAAAAAAAAAATCTTTTCGTCAGCGTACATTCACAGGGGCATTTACATAAGATACGTTGAAGAGGGTAAAAATCATAAAAAAAAAATAAAAATAAATTAGACAAGCGGTAAGACATTTTTAAGGACACTTTTTACAATTATTTGATATTTTTAAATTAAAAATAAAAATAAAAATAAAAATACTATGCTGCTGCTACTGGTGCTACTGCTGCTTCTACTACTTATCGTCTCCTCCTTTTGGGGATACAGATATTAGTTTCCTCTGATCGTATGTACTGGTCAGTATTCCCAGTGTTTTGGGCTCACAGGGCCAAAAAAGGATTACCATTGTGGCAAGTCGTTATTATTGGCACTGCGTACAATTTGATCACTTTTTCGCAGCTTCTCAAACAAAGTCAGAAGACGCACAAAACTCCGATCGTCCAATCGTAAAAGTTCCGTTTGGTTTACAATAAACTTCGACTACTGTTTATATGGACTTCTGTGAATAATGCCCATGCTGATATTGCCAAATAAATTTTTGTATGGCTTTCCATAAATCCCACATGAAACTCCGAACTTGTTAGGATATGGACGCGGAAAATAACCATATGACACGCTCTAATGACCGTGACGAGGCTAGTCACTTGTGTAGCGAGGTTAAAAGCCTAACGCCTCAATCTCAAATTCTGAGAGATTATCATCGCAAGCCCACAACTTCCACTCACTTAATTCATCAGGCAAGTAAAATCTTTTTCTACAATATTCACAAGCCTTATACAAATTGTAATCTGTATATTAACTTATAGGTACGTCTGCTAATTAATCTGCCTTCTTTTCCTCACTGATTTGAATTTTCGAGATCTATCAACTAATCAGCTACCTTTCTTTCGGCTGTTAGAAGCACTAAACCTTTATACACCTATTCAACCAGCGACAGATCTAATTTGGATTATAGTGTAAATAACGGTGAGTAAAACCCATATTTGTACCAAACTAAGTTTACCATTGAATAACGTTGAGACAGTTTTAGTTAAATCACGAGCAACTAAGTGGATTTTATTAAATGAGTTGCGAAATTTTAAAGGTAGAAAAAATTTTGTCGTCTCACAGTCAACAAAAATTCATAAGCAACTTTCTTTCACAACGACACCGAAAGATTTGCTCCCCGCCTATAATCTTTTTCTTCGTGAAAAATATTAGCAATTAGTGAAATATTATTTCTTAATGTTGTAACCATCACATGGAATAGCTGACGAAATGACATTTTTTTAAATAAGTAGTAAAAAAATTATAGACGTTAAGTTTTTAAATTCCCGTCAATTTTATCAAAATCTTATTTTAGATTATATTTGTCAACGTACGATCGCTTTTTTCTCTCTCTATACATACTAATCGTGAAATTTATTTGAATACAATACATGTATTCAATCTTTTCTTTCTTTCCATATTAAAAGATGTAGTTTTATGGAAAATTGATTGATTTGTCTGTTTAACGGTATATCAACTCCTTATGGATCACTTAATGCCGAAATTTTATTTTCTTGGGAGCAATAAAAATGATGTTATTCTGCTTTCACAATTGAATACATGGTAGGTACTCAGCTTTTGTGCATATACATGTCTGTGTGAACATAATTACTAGAAGCGGTGATGTATGTTTTATGTTGTAGTTTTGTTGAAGTTATATTTTGGAATACTGTTTGATTTAAGAAATTGTAGGATATTATATGGACTAATGCTGTGAAAGTTTTTTTCACGTTGTTTGTTTGTTTGTTTGGTAGTATCTTAAACGGACTTGGGCGTGGTTGCTACAATTTGTTAGTATGCGCATATAGTTGGTAATTTTACTATAAATATTTACTGTTGTAATTTTTCTTATATATAAAAAATATATTAAGAATCTTGTCTCTTGGAGGTCGACCAAAAAATAGTTTATCTGGAGATATCTGAGTATGAATACCTGAATATGCGGCGTATTACAAAAAATGCAAATAAAAATTACAAAATTCGTTCTTCGGAATACGATAATTTAATGGCTTCACTGACCGTTGTATAAAATCTTTCTATCTCAGATTTACTTTGAGGGCGGTAGGATATTGATCGTACCGAATATCATTCGTTTACACTACACGTTTTATTTTCTTGTAAAATCTTCAAACAGGCCTTCAGATTTTAATCATGAACACTTGATCATTTACACCACCAATTAAAATATAATCTGACATATTCTTGACACTTTATGGAGATGTTTAAACAACTCATTTTTTATGCAATTTTGATATTTTTCAATTGTTGAAGTAGCTTCTCCTACCAACCTTTTATAACGGAACAAACTAATATGAATAATAAACGGAGTAATATAACGAGATGTCTTATCCAATTCAATCTGATGGCATCCATGTTTCAAGTCAATGTTACTAAATACTATACAACCATTGGGCTTTTCAAGTAATTCCTCGGGTGTGGCTCCAGGGTAGTGATTTCTTTTTATGGCTGTGTTTGTTTTATGCTTATCAACTAGGAATGCCCGTAGGTACTCTGCTATTAATGACGAAATCCACGAGCTGGGTTCCCTAACTAGTTGAATGATGTTTAAATCAAACAATTCTTACAACTTGTTTTCAACCTTTTTTCGGACACAGAAAGGAATATGCTACAAATGTTGAGACGCTGGTTTTATTGTTTGATCAACTATTTAATTTGATTTTAACATTTTCCAATCTGACCAGTCCTTTAAAAACTGAAACGACTTTGACTAGAACAGGTTACCGCACTGAAATTATTCACTGTAATAACAGCGCCCTAGTATAGATAAGAATCCTAATTGTTTAGCAGTTTTCTTAATCAGAGTGTTGCCACTATTACATGAATAGACAACAATAAAATCTGAAGTGGTGTGTGTAGACCCAAGAGGGACATTTGAAATAAAAGCCCCCTCTACTGGTAGGGGAAATCTCGAGCCATACGTAAATATTTTCTTTTCACAATTTTTTCATTTGATATTTATATATGTTTTTAAAATATTCATGCGTATTCCGATCAATTAGATTTGCACTAGAGTCAATCAGAACTGAAACAAACAGACCATGTAAGAAAATAATTGCATCAGAGTTGTGTCGCATATTCATTCACTTTCTTTACTTTCTGTCTATATCACTGAGATCAGGTATTATGATTACTTTCATTATTTACATTATTCGGACTGTTATCCTCATCTTCATTGTCATATTCACAACGTTTTGGCCTCTATATCTCTGAGATGAGGTATCATGATTACTTGCATTATTTACATTATTCGGACTGTTATCCTCATCTTCATTGCCATATTCACAACGTTTTTGGCCTCTATATATCTGAGGAGATTATTATGATTACTTGCATTATTTACATTATTCGGACTGTTATCCTCATCTTCATTGCCATATTCACAACGTTTTGGCCTCTATATCTCTGAGATGAGGTATCATGATTACTTGCATTATTTACATTATTCGGACTGTTATCCTCATCTTCATTGCCATATTCACAACGTTTTGGCCTCTATATCTCTGAGATGAGGTATCATGATTACTTGCATTATTTACATTATTCGGACTGTTATCCTCATCTTCATTGCCATATTCACAACGTTTTGGCCTCTATATCTCTGAGATATGATTACTTGCATTATTTACATTATTCGGACTGAGACGTTTTGGAGGTATCATGATTACTTTCATTATTTACATTATTCGGACTGTTATCCTCATCTTCATTGCCATATTCACAACGTTTTGGCCTCTATATCTCTGAGATGAGGTATCATGATTACTTGCATTATTTACATTATTCGGACTGTTATCCTCATCTTCATTGCCATATTCACAACGTTTTGGCCTCTATATATCTGAGGAGGTATTATGACTTGCATTATTTACATTATTCGGACTGTTATCCTCATCTTCATTGCCATATTCACAACGTTTTGGCCTCTATATATCTGAGGAGGTATTATGATTACTTGCATTATTTACATTATTCGGACTGTTATCCTCATCTTCATTGCCATATTCACAACGTTTTGGCCTCTATATCTCTGAGATGAGGTATCATGATTACTTGCATTATTTACATTATTCGGACTGTTATCCTCATCTTCAGCCATATTCACAACGTTTTGGCCTCTATATATCTGAGATGAGGTATTATGATTACTTGCATTATTTACATTATTCGGACTGTTATCCTCATCTTCATTGCCATATTCACAATGTTTTCGCCTCTATATCTCTGAGATGAGGTATCATGATTACTTGCATTATTTACATTATTCGGACTGTTATCCTCATCTTCATTGCCATATTCACAACGTTTTGGCCTCTATATATCTGAGATGAGGTATTATGATTACTTGCATTATTTACATTATTCGGACTGTTATCCTCATCTTCATTGCCATATTCACAATGTTTTCGCCTCTATATATCTGAGACGAGGTATCATGATTACTTGCATTATTTACATTATTCGGACTGTTATCCTCATCTTCATTGCCATATTCACAACGTTTTGGCCTCTATATATCTGAGATGAGGTATTATGATTACTTTCATTATTTACAATATTCGGACTGTTATCCTCATCTTCATTGCCATATTCACAACGTTTTGGCCTCTATATATCTGAGATGAGGTATTATGATTACGTTCATTATTTACATTATTCGGACTGTTATCCTCATCTTCATTGCCATATTCACAACGTTTTGGCCTCTATATCTCTGAGATGAGGTATCATGATTACTTGCATTATTTACATTATTCGGACTGTTATCCTCATCTTCATTGCCATATTCACAACGTTTTGGCCTCTATATATCTGAGATGAGGTATTATGATTACTTGCATTATTTACATTATTCGGACTGTTATCCTCATCTTCATTGCCATATTCACAACGTTTTGGCCTCTATATCTCTGAGATGAGGTATCATGATTACTTGCATTATTTACATTATTCTGACTGTTATCCTCATCTTCATTGCCATATTCACAACGTTTCGACGGCTGTACGCTCCGGCTTCCTTCAGGTGAGTGGAATTTCGAACCGAACCCTTTATTTCCCCCACCGGGGTAGATTGTTCTAGTTCCACGTGCCATGCCTCTTCCGGGTGTCTCAGTTATTTCTCTTTAACTCAAGGACACATGGTCCAGTGAATAAAGATGTTGGTTAGATCGAGTAACTAGACCCAATTAGTTGTGAGTTCAATACCAGGCCACAGCAGTGGTAAACCAAAACTTAGAGAGTTGAGTTGAATTTGAGGATAACAGTCTGAATAATGTAAATAATGCAAGTAATTGCATCAGAGTTGTGTCCCTTATTTGTCATTAGTACAAAATGTGTGATTAGTACAAAATTTGTCATTAGTACACGCTGGAATCTTTTTGGATTATACAAAAGCTTTAGTTTTGTGTGTGTGTTTTCTTTGTAAAAAACACATCCGTTCAAAGTGGTTGAGCTAATGACAAAGTGTGCATTGTTTTCCTCTGGCTGAATACTGTCATTTTTGTAGTACGAATCACTACCACGATCGTAACATCCTCGACACGTTTCAAAATTTGAGGATATGCACGTAGTTTTTTCAGTCATTTTATTTTTGCTCGAAGTATTTATTTTTTCTGTTAAGCTAGATTTCTTTTCTTGTAGTTTGTAAATTTCAACATTTTGTTGTTCCATTTTGGGGACTTATTCTTTCGCC